CCTTTCGGAGGTCAAGCTGGGCCATCTTGGGCCGTCTTCTGGCCACCTTGGACCATCTAGGAGTTTCTGGGAGTTCTGCTCGGCCCTGAATGGTGGCCAGGATCCCCAATAGTGCTCCGGGGGTTTCGCAACAGCCTAGCTGCCTTCTTTGGCACATCGGCATGTCCAGCCGCTTTCCATACCCACATTGCTTCTGGCCCGCGGTCCCAAGAGCCCTCGCGCTCAAAAGACGACGGACGAGTGGCAGTTTCGACAGTTGTTTTTTTCGGGCTGTCCACGTCCCATGTCGCTGGGGGGGAGGGGTGCGGGGCATTGTGCTTCGAGATTCTTGCATTTCAATGCCACGTTGTTCTTGACACGAGTACAGCGCAGGCAGAGTGGTGCTGATTTTCTTCAAGCCGGTTCCTTTGTACAAACCTGTCGCTGCCACGTGGACAGAGGTACCCCTTTTCGCTTTCAAGAATCACACTCGTGCCCGGTTCAAAGGCGCTGTCCTATGTGGCGGCATGTGCAGCGTGGCTGTGACTGAACTCACGTTCGCGGGGGAACAAAGGCTGATGCAAGTCGTGACTACATCGATGCCTTTCGGCGCGTGCCATTCGGACTTGCAGGCTGATCATGGCTCGGTTTATCTGCATGCCCCCTCGCGGGCAGGCGGCCCCTGTCGTCATCGCCACAGCCGTCGTCGTCGTCGTCGCCGCCGCCGCCCCAGCCATCGTCGGCGTCCCGTCATCGTCCTCGCCTTCGTCGTCGTCGCCGCCGGCCGCCGACGTCCGCGGCCGCCACGGCGCAGCCGCAGCCTCGGGGCGCCGCGCCGCGCGGCGCGGCCGCTGCCGCGCGGCCGCGACGATGGCGCCGGGCGCGGCTCGACCGCTGCGCCTCGCTGCGCCGCGGGGGGCGCGGGCGGCGCCGGCGCCGGCGGCGCGCCGCTGCGCTCGCCGCGGGCGCCGGCTGCCGCCGCGCGGCGCTGGGCCGTCGCCGCCGCAGCGCGGGGCGGCGCTGCGGCGCTACGTGGGGGCTTCGTGCGCGGCGTGCCCGCTGGCGGCGCGTCGGCGGTGCGCTGGGGGGGCGCGCGGATGCGCGCGGCCGCGGGGTGTCGCGCGGCGGGGCGCGCGGGCGTACGCGCTTCCGCCCTGGGCGACGCGTGGGCGCAGGCGGCCGCCGTCGCGCTGGAGCTGCGGGGGGCCCAGGTCTCTCGACGGTGTCAGTTTTTGAGTCTGGGGACGTCCCCACCTCGCTCGCCTGCATCCCAGTGCCTGCTCGAACGCTGCTTGGACTTCTCTCGCAGCCACGGGCTCCAGAAGGCTCTTTGGGCGTTGGCGTTTTCCTGGGCTCTCGCCGCCATGGGCTCCAGAAGGCTCCAGAAGGCTCTTTGGGCTCTCGCAGCCATGGGCTCCAGAAGGCTCCGTGGATTGCGGCCCCCTGCCATGGGGCCCTTCCTCGGGCCCCGGGGCCGTCAACAAAAGGGCTTTGGGGCGGAACCCTGCCCCTGAGATGCGGTCGGGACCTCTGGGGCCGAGACTGAACAAATCATCCCGCGTCAGCGAATGAGGATGAGGATGAGGATGATGATGATGATGATGATGAGGATGATGATGATGATGATGATGAGGATGAGGATGAGGATGAGGATGAGGATGATGATGATGATGATGATGATGATGATGATGATGATGATGATGATGATGATGATGATGATGATGATGATGATGATGCTGATGATGATGATGATGATGATGATGATGATGATGATGAGGATGAGGATGAGGATGATGATGAGGATGATGATGAGGATGATGATGAGGACTGATGATGAGGTGATGTTTGATGATATGAGGAGGAGGAGGAGGAGGAGGAGGAGAAGTAGGAGGGGGGAGGATGGTGGGGAGGTGGGTAGGCTAGCGCCGCGGGTTGCTGCGGCGGCGGCCCCTTTGGCGCAGGCGCCGCGGGGGTGGAGGGCCGCCAGCGGCCCGAGGTCGGCGGGCCTCGCACGGCCTGCGCCGTCGGGGAGCCGCGGTCGTTCCAGGCCGAGTCGTGCCGAGAAGGAGGAGGAGGAGGAGGAGGGGGAGGAGGGGGAGGAGGAGGAGGAGGGGGAGGAGGAGGAGGAGGAGGAGGAGGAGGAGGAGGAGGAGGAGGAGGAGGAGGAGGAGGGGGAGGAGAAAGAGGGGAAGGGAGGCAGGAAGAGGAAGGAGGAGGAGGAGGGAGGAGGGAGGAGGGAAGAGGAGGAGGAGGGAGGAGGGAGGTATATGCACCGATCCTGGCAAGGCCCATCCTTGACCCAGGATCGGTGCATGTACCTCCCTGGCCAAGGTATAGAGGGCGTGTGCACCGATCCTGGGCTCCGGGTGGGCCTGGCCGGAATAGGTGTATGTGCATATAGTGTTTTTCCTCTACTCCGGCGAGGGGGCCCACGCATGCCTCTCCCCCCCCCCCCCCCCGAGCTCGAGGTGGGAGGCTTCTCGAGCGGGGGCGGCCGGCGGTGGGCGGGCACGGCACCGATATAGAGGGCCTGGTGGGCGTTCTTTTTATTAATATTTTTTTTTTTTTTTGTTTTTTTTTTATCTTTTTTAATTCACTTTTCTTGTGGTTGCTGGTGGGGTGGCGGTGCCGGTCCTTCTCCGTGCTTGCCGGTGCGGCCTCGGCGGCGCGGCTTCCGCGCTCTCGGGCCTCTGGGGGGGGGGGCGCTGCGGTCCCCAGGACGCCAGCAACCGCTCCAGGAGGAAGGGCTGGCGAGGATGGGCCCGGGCAGAGTTACGTCAAGCCCGTCCCTCTACAAGGGGGATATTCCAAAGTAGTGGAACAAATAGTCTGGGAACGATTTTGTTTGTTTTGTTTGTACTACCATTTTTTGATATTTCTGGCGCATTCTTGTGGTCGGAGGTTGGGGGGTGAGATCGAAGTGAAACGGAGAGCCCCCCTACCGGGAAATCGATTTCGGTTTCGTGTTTGTGCCGTGCGTGCGGGCGAGGCGAAGCTGCGTGGGCGGGGGAGAGAAAATAATTCTCCTGTGGCTGGGCCGCGGCTGGACCAACAGGTTCTCCGCCCGGCAACCGGTGGCGCGCGGTGTCCCGCGGGCGTCCCGCTGGTGTCCCGCTGGTGTCCCGCCGGTGTCCCGTCGTGGCTGGGCCGCGGCCGGACCAGAAGGTTCTTCGCCCGGCAACCGGTGGCGCGCGGTGTCCCGCCGGTGTCCCGCTGGTGTCCCGCTGGTGTCCAGCTGGTGTCCCGCCGGTGTCCCGTCGTTGTCCCGTGGTGTCCCGAGGTGAGATCGACAATGAGACCGATAGTGAGATCGATAGTGAGATCGATAATGAGACCGATAGTGAGATCGATAGTGAGATCGATAGTGAGAGATCGATAGTGAAATTTATGGCGAGATCGATCGTGGTATCGATAGTGAGATCGATAGTGAGTGCGATAGTGGGATCGATCGAGTGGGATCGATAGCGAGATCGATAGTGAGATCGATAGTGAGATCGACAAGTGTCCCGTGGTGTCCCGTGGTGTCCCGTTGAGTGGATCGATACGATACTGAGATCGATTGAATCAGATGTTGGTTCCCCCCCACAGCTTTCTTATCACCCGAAGGGTGGTCGTATAGGTATTTTTAATTTTTCGTCCAAAATCCGCCTGTAGGGGGACACGCCCGACCTAAGGGCAGGGGTCTGAGGATCAGGTCTGAGCAGCCTCCTGACAGAAGCACGCCACGCTGCCGATGCCCCTCCTTGGTCTCCGCCTGCTCGGGCCCCAACGGGGGGGATCTTCGGCGACGAGGCTCTTTGATTCTTGACCCACGTACGGTCAAAAGTCACAGTGCGGTCGAAGCGAATGTCCTGAGGGCACCCTTGCGTCCTTGCCTCTGCGGCCCCCGCCCGGCGCGGTTTCCACTGGCCAGCCCTCCAGGGTGTTGCCAGTCCGCCGCCCCCCAACAGTGCCGACTTCGGCGCCCCAGGCCTGGGGCGCCCGTCCCTGTCATATAGAGCTCAGCTGTACTTGTGGCCACGCTGCGGCTGTGGCCCTTTCTCTTGGTTGGCCACCAGGAGCGGTGCCGGCATGGGCGGATGTGTCCCCGCCGCGGGCGCCGTGGACCTCGAGCTCGGCGGCCAGCCGCGCCCCCTCACGCTCCGAGGCGACATGCAGGCACCGCCGGGGGACGCCCACAGCGCAGGCGGTTCACGCCCCTCCTGGCCCTCCCATTCCTCGGCCCCGGGATCGCCGTCTACGCTCGAGGGAGGACCAGCGGCAGCAGCAGAAGCTTTTGGCGCTCCGCGCGGATTTCTCGGACCCGCGCTGGGCCCTCCCCAGCGGCGCGACCCGGCGCCGCCCCTGGCGCGCTCCGCGCGCCAGGGGAGGGGGGGCCCGGCGCGGATCCAAGGAACCCGCGCGGAGCGCCAGCACTGCACGTTGGTGCCGTTCTTGCCTGTTCTGACACGCCCAGGCTGGCCATGCAAACCCTCGGCCCGGGATCGCCCTGCACGCCTGTCCTGGCCCAGCGGGGAGGGCCTGTGCACCGAACCTGGACCCAGGTGGGGTCTGGCCAAAGTCGGTGCGGGTGTGTCTCCATGTTTAGTTTTTTGTTTTTTTTGTTGCAGCGAAGATCCCCGTAGGTCGCGAGCACTTCCCAGGGACCGAACGCTCATCCGGAGTCGTCTTTCGGCCATCTCGCGAGGCCTGGCGAGGGCCCCCAGAGGCCGGCAGCGCCTACGTAAATGTTGTCCGTCGCGGTGCTTGGCTCGACGCGAGGATGTCTGGGGGGGGGGGCTCTGTCGTGAGGTCGGAGACGTGATCAGGACGCTGCTCGCCACCAACGTCGTCTGCGTGGACAGCGAGGGCGAGCAGTCCTTCCAGATCAGCGTGGCCCCCGCAAGCCCAGAGTCTGGCGTGGTGACCGGGGGCCTGCCGTGGGTTCACCGCGGGGGTGCGAAGGTAGTCGCGCTTCGCGCGTCGCGGTCTCGGCACGGCGGCGCAAGATCGCGACGCGCTGCCCCTTCTCCTCCTCCCCCTCCTCCTCCTCCTCCTCCTCCTCCTCCTCCTCCTCCTCCTCCTCCTCCTCCGTCTCCTCCTCCCCCTGCCCTTTTCCAAGCGGGCGGCGCGAGATCGCGAGAGGACCACCGCTCGTCGCGCATTCTGCGTGGCGCGAGGCCGCGAGGCTCGGCGGCCGGGGGGGCCCCCAGACGGTGCAGTGACCACACTGGATGGTGAGTCAGTGGGGTTTCTTCGGGGGCGGCCAAGAGGGGGGTGAGGACTAGGGGGGGGCTGGACATCATGGCGGGGGCCATGATATCTCCTCAGGTTTCATGGCGCCTCTTCTTATTTCCATACGTCCCCGGCCCCCCCCTGGGCCGCGCACATGACGCCGGCCATGATTTGCGCCCCCCCCTCTTGCAGGCCCCCCTCTTGGCCGCTCCCGAGAGACGGGGGTCAATGCAAGCGGGGGTCAGCCAGAGCGCCCGATCTTGCGCAGGATCCTTCGGGGCCGGGGTCGCACTGACCCTGGCCAGGGCGCAGGATCCTGCAGGATCATGCAAGGCCTGGCTGACCCGGGTCTGGATTGACCCGGGTCAGAAGATCCCCGAGATCCAGGAGGGAAAAAAACACACAGACAGAATTAATCTTCGACTCCCATTCGGAAAATATAGGACAATCTGGGAAATGGGGGGGAGGACGAAAACCCCCAAATCTGGGGGATCTTGGGATTTTTGTGTGCATTTATGTGTGTGTGTGCGTGTGTGTGTGTGTGTGTGTGTGTGTGTGTGTGTGTGTGTGCGTGTGTGTGTGTGTGTGTGTGTGCGTGCGTGCGTGCGTGCGTGCGTGCGTGCGTGCGTGCGTGCGTGCGTGCGTGCGTGCGTGCGTGCGTGCTGTGCGTGCGTGTGGTGTGTGTGTGTGTGTGTGTGAGAGTGTGTGTGTGTGTGTGTCCCTGGGCCCCTTCTGAGATGCGGGGTGGCCGCACGGTTTTGGGACTTGCGCCCTTCTCCGAGGCCGTCTCGGGCGCCGGGGCCCCCCGAGGTGACCGTGGAAGGCGCCCCGGCGTCGCCGAGCGGCGGCAGCGGGCCCTTCTGCATCCTGCTGGAGGACCTGCTGGAGGCCCGGGTCGGACGAAACGGGGTTCTTCAGAGGAGAGCAAGGCACCCCTACTTCTACCCTTCGCTCGCCTTCCCCTTGCTTGGGGCCTCCTGGGCGGCCCTCGCCGCCGCCGCTGGATTCGCCTCGAGATCCTGGTGAGGGCGCGCCCCGCGAGAGGTCCGGGGAGCAGCGGTATGTTGCGCCCTCCGCAGCTCTCGAGGTTCGAGGTTCGAGGCACTCTCGGAGGTCCTTCGCTGCCTCGCCCCTCCCGGGAGGCTCCCCGACCGAGGCGTGGTCCCCCGGGCCGGAAGGGACCCCGAGGCCCCTGCGGGGGCTCCCGTCGGGCCCCCCCCCCCGGGGGCCGACAGTGTTGGCTCGGGGTTCGGGGTTCGAGGCTCTCGGGCGGCTTCGTCGGTTCTTTCAGTATCGTGGAGCCGATCCCCCCACACCCATCCCCATCCCCATCCCGAGCCCCACCATCTCCCCCCCCCCGTTGGGGATATGCCCTTCGAAGCCCGAAGGGAGCAGCCTACGTCCCCATCTATGGGGGGGGCAAACTGGCCAGTGGGGCCCCGGCCACGCGAGTGGGGATAGGGATCGCTTCAACGATGCCCATTCTTGGGCGTTTTCTGGCCTCGGGATGCTTTCGCCAGCAGCTGCGTCGCCGAGAGCCTTCCAGGTCTGCCCGGCTCGTCTCGAGCGGCCGCTGGAGACTGGAGCTGCGGTCCGGGATTTGGGCTCAGCGTGTCGCGCCGCTGGTTCTGGCGCACCGCGTTTCGGCGCGGCACGCTCACCACCTCCAATTCCCAAGCGCCAACGTCCCGAGCCTATCCCAGCCTCCCGCCCCGGGGAGCGGGGTGACACGCTGTCTGCTCGCAGGGCATCGCGTGTCGCCGGGGTCCGCTGCCGCGACATGCTAGCTAAGCGACAGTTCCTGACCTCACTACCCGCACGCCCTCCGACCCGAGAGGCGCCGCGGAAGATGCCGCTGGAGTGCCTCGTCAGCGACAGCAACGAGGAGTGCCAGCTCTACGAGGACACGCCCGAGCCCTACATCGACCGGGAGCCATCGTCGGAGCTGATGAGCCGCCTGCCCTGGCTGGTGGGGCTGCTCCTGTTCCTGACGGTCTCCTCTGCCATCCTCGAGTTCTACGACGCGGTGCTGCAGCGGCACCCTGGGCGGGGCTCACGTCCTGGCGCCGGCCGCGGATCCAGGGAGCTCGGCGGCGGAGCTCGAGACACGGGCCCCGAGATCCGGGCGTTGCAAACTTTTTGATGCGGTTGTCCCCGCCCAGCGTCGGGCTCCTGGAACATCACTTCAGTCGGGCCTGTCCTTCCACAGGAGGAGAATTCAGACACAGTCAAAGCATGGTCAGGAACATGTTCTCTTTTATAACATTTTTTTCGTTTGACTAGTTCTGCTGTTTCGCCCAATATCCGCCTGTAGAAGGCCATGCCCGACCTAAAACATCACCTATCGATCCGGCTGGACACATGAGCCACGCCAAAAAACGGGGCCATCGTCGCCGACATTTGCGCGTAAGCTGCCCGCATAAGGTCGCGCGCTAGCGCCGTCGTCTCCAACGTGGCGTGCCGCGCTGGTGGCCGGCGTAAGCCACCGCGTGAGGTCGCCACGCCATCTCGCCTAAGACCCGTTTTCGATCGTCGCTCGGATGACTCGGACATTTTTGACCTGGAGTTCTGGTCATGTTGCTTCGCGATGCTGCGACTTTTCCGCGGCGCTGGAGCTCTCAGGAGCTCCGGCGGCCCCGCAGGCTGGGAGGCGGGGGCGTCCAGCTATGCATGCCGAGCTCCCTGGCCGACCGGACGACGCCGTTGCATGCTTCTTGGAGTGTCTAGGCCTCCTAGATCTTAGACGGAGTCCGAGTAGACGGTGCGGCTCGATGTGCAGCTCGTGTTTCCCCACGCCAGCGTCGCCGATGCATCGCCGATACATCGGCGACGCATTGGCGATGCGGCGCGATCCTTCGACCCCATCTACTCGGACCCCATCTAGGAGGCTTCTAGAGTGAGGGATCGAGTACAGAATTGATGTACCCTGAAATGGATTTTCTCGTAGAGTCTACAACGAAGACGTCGCATGTTCCATGGATTCCACAAGAAAAGCAAATTTTTGGGTACATCGAGTCTGTGGTCGATCCTCTATTTTACGTCTACGTAGCCGCCCAGGGGCGCGAAGGAGAGGCTCGCTCTTCGCGCGTCGGCGGCCCGGGCTAGGGCCGGGGGGGGGGGTCGCGCGGGGGGGGGCGCGAGGGCGCCGGGTCGTACATAGCCGCGCGTCGCACGGCGCTGGGCGCGGTGCGCGAAGTTGGGGGCGACCTCGCCGAAGTACCTTGACACTCGCCGGTCTGTGTGTTGCGAGCCGCGGCCCCCGGCGTCCCGACCGCTCCGCTTCCCCGCGCGGGCCGTTCTTCGTCCCGAGCCCGTCCGCGCGGGCCCTGGACCCCAGGAGGAGGAGGGAGGAGGAGGAGGAAGAGGAGGAGGAGGCGGAGGAGGAGGAGGCGGAGGAGGAGGAGGCGGAGGAGGAGGAAGGCGGAGGAGGCGGAGGAGGAGGAGGAGATGAGGCGGAGGAGGAGGAGGAGAAGAGGCGGAGGAGGGGAGGAGGAGGCGGAGGAGGAGGAGGCGGAGGAGGAGGAGGCGGAGGAGGAGAAGGCGGAGAAGGCGGAGGAGGAGTAGGAGGAGGAGGAGGAGGAGGAGGAGGAGGAGGAAAAGGCGGAGGAGGAGAAGGAGGAAAAGGCGGAGGAGGAAGAGGAGGAGGAGGAGGAGGAGGAGGAGGAGGAGGAGGAGGAGGAGGAGGAAGAGGAGGAGGAGGTGGAGGAGGAGGAGGAGGAGGAGGAATTTGTTTGAATACTCTGTGAGTTTTTACACATATATATATATGTATATATCGATTCGTCCATAATCCGCCTGTATAGGGGGACACGCCCGACCCGACCCCATGCGGGCAAGACTTGTGCTCATATCCACTGCAGCTTGGAGTCTTGGGCTCCCGTCCCCAGAACCCCCAGGAGCCCTGGATATGGACAAAAGTCTGGCCCCGCAGAGGCTCGACCTTCATGCATATTCAGTGCGCCTGGGCCTTGCGGTTGCTCCTTCCAAGAAAGGTCAAGACGCGCTGGATATGGAGACAGATATTGCCCGCATCCCCAGGCATCTGGTCATCGCCTTCTACCTCACCGCCCTGGTGGGCTGTGGCGGCAACTCCGGCTCCCAGGCCGCCTCGCTGATCCTGCAGGCCCTGGCCACCGGGGAGCTGCGGCCCACCGTGGCGGACGTGCTCCGGGTGGCCGAGAAGGAGCTGCTCGTCGGCCTCGGGGCCGCGGTCGCGCTGTCCCTGGGGGTGGTGGCCCGGATGATCTTCTTCGGGAGCTCGGGGAAGAAACAGCCGCGTGAGCACACTTGGAGGCTCGAGGCTCGGGAGGTTCGAGGCTCGAGGTTTTATCGGAGGTTCTTCGCTCCCTCGCGCCTCCGGGAGGCTCCTCGGGCTTCGACCCCCAGGCCGGGAGGACCTCGAGACCCCCCGGGGGTCCCGGACGGGCGCCCACTGCAGGGGCCCACTTCGCCGACCTCGGGGTTCGGGGCTCGGGGCTGTCGGGCGGTCTCGTAGGTTCTCGGCGGCCTGTGGCCGCGGGGCGCTTCTGCGCCTGCCTCGCCGAAGGCTCTCCGTGGTTCGGGTGCAGCCAGGGGCCCCAGGTAAGGGGACCCGGTTAGGAGCAGGGCCCCGGAGCCCCCAAGTTGACCAGAACGACTCCACCAGGTCTGCCGTATCTGGTGCTTTCTCGGCTGACGGCAGTTCCGGCTCGTGGAACGGGAGGGGAGGGGGCGTCCCACAGTACATATCACTCATCCATGTCCCACTAAACCCAGTTCTGCCAACGCCCGAGTGGTGCCCGAGCGGCCGCCGAAGACTGGAGTTACGCTCAGGAGCGTTGGTTTAGCATGTCCCGCCGCCTGTTCTTGCGAACCACGCTTCGGCGCGACACGCTGACCACGTCCTGGTCCCGGAGCGCTCAGTCCCGAGCGCATCCCAGCCGTCCGCACTCTGGAGCTTTTGGAGGTCCGGTCGGGCTCCTCTTAGATCGGCCCCTGGCCCCTCCTGACGGCGCCTCTGGCGCCGCCCCTGGCGCTCTCCGCGCGTCAGGGAGGCGGGGCCAGCGCCGATCCAAGAAATCCGCGCGGGCCTCCGAAAGTTGACAGTGGGCAGGTCAGGCAAGGATCTGGCCTGTCAGTCGGTGCCTCGCGATCAGTTCTGCTATCCCGAAGGGGCCGCGGAGCCCTGGGGCACCCTGCGAAGCTCGCAGTCCACGGAGAAGGTGCCCCTATAGGTTTCTCCAGGGAGGATCTCTTGTCGTCTGTGCCAGCTGTATGTTTGCGCAGTTGCTCTCCTTCATCAGGAGCCCGCTCGAGGACGCCGCCATCATCGCCATCGCCATGGCGTTCACGGTGCTGTTCTCCGTCCTGTTCGGCGCCCTGACGCCCCTGCTCCTGAAGCGGCTCGGCTTCGACCCGGCGAAGGTGAGCGGGCCGCTGCTGTCCACCACGATCGACATCTTCGGGGTGCTGGCGGCGTGCATCTCCGCGCAGCTGCTGGAGAGCGTCGGCTACCTGCACTGAGGGGCCCCCGCCTCCTCGTGCTCTGGATCGGATCGAATCGGGTTGGCCAGGCATCCAGAGGGGCACGTGGGCAGTTCGGCAGGAGCACATCGGCGACGGAACCAAAGCGGGTCTAACTGCGCCGACATTCGCACGTAAGCTTCACGCGGAAGGTCGCGCGTACGCGCCCTCGTTTCCGATGCCGCGTGCCGCGCTGGTGGCCCGCGTGAGCGACTGCGTAAGGTCGCCATGTCATCGTGCGGAAGACCCGTTTCTCTTCGCCGCTCGCATGTGGTCCGACCAGGGTTCCCTGAGGCCGAATTCAGCGAGCAACGAGCAACGACAGTATTGTTGTTTTCCAAAGTGTTGGAGGCCTGGGTCCTCTGCCCTCCCTTGCCACGCTTGCATCTCGCCTCGGTCCCCCCTCCCAGCTCTCCGACGTCACGGTCTCCCTCGTGGCGTGAGGTCCACGAAGCTCTCGGGCCTACCCCAGGGGCTGGCCCGTCATCCAGGATTATTTTTGTGTTGGTGGTCCTGGGGCCCCGAGACAGGCCTCGAGAATACCAAGGGCGGGAGGTTCCCGTGCGAGCGGAAAAGCGGCTCGGGTGAGCTGGCCCGAATGCGTTTCGAGGTGAAACCAAAGCTGTAGTGCTCAGAACTGGAACGGGCCCAGCCTCATGGTGGGCCCTCTCATGTTCTGTGCACGTCAGCTTTCCCTCAGGGTGTGCCCTTGCCCGTGCCGCTCAACGATGAGTTGTGGAGCGGTGCTGCAGCCTCCCCTGAGCACAGGCCCCCACCTGGAGCAGCAGCCAGACCAGTCGGGCTTCGGTGCTCTCCAGAAGGCCAAGCGGCGGAAACCATGAGTGGCAGGCCTCTCGCGTGCTTCTTCCTGGTGACGGAGGAGGCCCCCGCCCCCCACCCCAATGCCTACAGCAGACAAACTTGCCCGTCCGTGGCGACGAGGACGCCGCGGCCCACGACGACGAGAGAGTGCCCCCCGGGCCTGTGGAGGCCTCCGGAAGTTGGCGCGTGAGCGCCCTCGTCTTCCTTGTGGGGTGCCGCGCTGGTGGCCCGCGTAAGGTCGCCGTGCCATCTCGCGTAAGACCTGGTTTTGATCCTCGCTCAAATGCGCTCATGGCTCGTTCCCCGCGCGCCCCCAGCTGGGCCGCCGCCGAGTTCCCTGCCGCGGCTCCGCACCCCCTACGGGCCACCTGCGAACCCTACCCCACCGCCCCACGACGTTCCTGGGGGGAGGTGGGGTTCACTGCGCTTGGGAGTCCCGAGCGAAGCGACCCCCCCCCCCTCAGCCTCTCAGCCTTGCCTTTCGAAATCGTGGGGTGGTGGGTACTCCAGATTTCGTAATAAAAGGGAGGGGGTCTGGACCCTCCAAGACAAGCCATTTCAGACCTCCCCCGTGGGAGAACCCTCCAAAACATCGTCCCCAGACCCCCCCAAGGCCTCCAAGATAGCCTGGAAGAGACCCCCCCCGAAATGAGACCCCCTCCCTTTTATTACGAAATCTGGAGTAGGGTTCGCATGTGGCCTCCTAGCGGCTCGTTCCCCGCGCGCCCCCAGCTGGGCCGCCGCCGAGTTCCCTGCCGCGGCTCCGCCTACGGGGCCCCAGGAGTGCACACCACCACCGCCTGCCTCGGCCCCGCCCGCCCTCTACCCAGGACTAGATGAGGAAGAGACGGATGGAGGAGGGGGAGGAGGGGAGGGGGAGGAGGAGGAGGAGGAGGGGGAGGGAGGAGGAGGCATGAGGAGGGGAGGCGGAGGCGGAGGAGGAGAGGAGGAGGAGGAGGAGGAGGAAGGAGGCGGAGGAGGAGGAGGAAGGGAGGAGGAGGACGAGGACGAGGACGAGGGACGAGGACGAGGAGGACGAGGAGGAGGAGGAGGAGGGAGGAGGAGGAGGAGGAGGAGGAGGAGGAGGAGAGAAGGAGGAGGAGAGGAGAGGAGGAGAGGAGGAGGAGGAGGAGGAGGAGGAGGAGGAGGAGGAGGGGAGGAGGAGAGGAGGAGGGAGGAGGAGGAGGAGGAGGAAGGAGGAGGAGGAGGAAGGAGGGAGGAGGAGGAGGAGGAGGAGGAGGAGGAGGAGGAGGAGGATGAGGAGGTGGAGGAGGCGGAGGAGGAGGAAGGAGGAGGAGGAGGAGGAGGAGGAGGAGGAGGAGGAGGAGGAGGAGAGACGGCTGGAGGAGGGAAGGGGGGAGGAAGATGGTGGTGTATGCAGCCAACCCGCATGACAAGGGTGGGCAACCTTCCCAAGGGCACCCTTGCATCCTGGCCACCTCGGTCCGTCCTTGGCCGCCTTCGCTGGCCGCGCTCCGCTCGCAGAGTGCTGGCATGGCCTCCCAGGGCCCTTGCATCCTTATCGTGCGTGACAGCGAGACGATTGCGAGTAGAGCTGAGTGTTAAGATTCCTTTTCACTGGCGGGCAAGTTCAAACATCGTGAAACGGCTCTCTATGCTGCCGAATAGATATCCCTATGATGCGACTGGAGGACAGGGGAGGAGGAGGAGGAGGAGGAGGAGGAGGAGGAGGAGGAGGAGGAGGAGGAGGAGGAGGAGGAGGAGGAGGAGGAGGAGGAGGAGGAGGAAGAGAAGGTTGGAGGAGGCTGGAGGAGCGGAGCGGGAGGAGGAAGATGGGGGGGAGGAAGAGAGGGAGGGAGGAGGGAGGGAGGGAGGAGGAGGAAAGGAGGAGAGGACGAGGAAGAGCGGACGAAGGTGGTGGTGGTGGTGGTGGTGTACATTCTAAGGGCTTCCCCCCCCGCTCGGGGGCGCGGGCGGCACGCGCGGCCAGCGCTGGCGGCCCCGGGGGCAGCGCGACCGCCCGGAGGGGGGGTCGTGCCGGCCCGCCTTTTTGCCGCCGTCTGGCGCGGCGGTGCTTCCAGCCAAGACCTGCTCGCGTCGTGAAGACAAGGAGGAGGCGGAGAGGAGGCGGGGGAGGAGGAGGGGGAGGAGGAGGGGGGAGAGGAGGGGGGAGGGGGAGGGGAGGGGGAGGAGGGGAGGAGGAGGAGGAGGAGGAGGAGGAGGAGGAGGAGGAGGAGGAGGAGGAGGCGGAGGAGGAGGAGGAGGAGGAGGAGGAGGAGGAGGAGGAGGAGGAGGAGGAGGAGGAAGAAGCCTCGCCGAGGGCGTTCTGGGGGTGCCTGGATCGTCCCGAACGAGCGCCAGAGACCCGAGGTATGGCCCGGAAGCTGCATTTCTTCGGACGGTTTTGGGACAGATTCGGCCTCGGGAGGCCCTTGCCAGGCCCCGAGGCCGTCGATCAACGATTCGGGGTGAGGAGCTGGCCACGGGGAAGGGGTCGGACAAACAAGAACAGCATCGAGAAAAACTGGGGCCACTGGGGACCCCGCAACACCGCATGTCTTGGACGTAGGGGGCCCCAGAAACGACAGGACCGTGTTTCCACCGTGTCCGAAACAGCGTCTCTTGAACATGGAAATGGCACGGCGAAAAACGGCGACCAGAAACGGCTCCAGAAACGGCTCCAGGATTGGAGCCAGAGCTGGAACCAGCAACAAAACCGGCGTCGGAACCTGCAAACAAACGGCGTCGGAACTGGCAAAAAATGCGCAAGCTGGAACCGGTAGAAAAAACAACGGCCCTGTCGTTGCCAGGGCCCACTAAGGTCTGGGGCGGCCAGCGTAGCGACGTGAGGCGTTCCAGAGAGGGCCGCGTCTTCGAGGGATGAGGCGGGTATCGTTTCCCCCGCGGAGGGCGGCAGAAGGCCAGCGGAAGTCAAGCTCGGGCGGCTCCGCTGTGGTCGTCGTCGTCGTCGTCGTCGTCGTCGTCGTCGTCGTCGTCGTCGTCGTGGCCGTCCTCGTCGTCGCCGTCGTTGTCGTGGCCGTCGTCGTGGCCGTTGTCGAGGTGGCTGGTAGCACTGAGGAGTTGCACCCCCAAGAGATGACAACATTCTGAGTTATGGGTTTTCAGAACCCGCCATGTAGGAATACGATCGGCCGATGATCTGGGGCGGTCAAGAGAGGGATGATGACCACGGGGGGGAATATCATGGCGGGGGCCATCATATCCCCAGATTTCTTCGCGCCTCTTTTTTTAATACGTCCCCGTCCCCCCCTAGGCCGCGCACATGCCGCCGACCATGATTGGCGCCCCCCGCCTCTGGGACGCCTCCCTCTTGGACGCCCCTGAGATGATTCAGCACGCAATGCGGACATCCAGCGCCTCTTCATAAAGAAACCGAGGCGGTTGGCCCGTCGCCATTGTTGGCTCCTGGAGACCGGTTTCAGTTCCTGGGGCCGTCCAAGGACGCCTTCGGATGAGACCCCGGTTCCGGTGAGTGGTGGAGAGGTCTGGGGGCCCACGCATCAAAGCAACCCGAGCGCCGGATTATCTGGAACTACAGCGTACCTGCGCTACAGTGGAGATCCATGCCAAAGAAACACTCTGCTTGCCTCCAGGATGCCCTGGATTTCTTGGGTTTCGCTGGTTTTGCCATGGAAAGCGTGACGTTCCCACACCCAAATCAATGAACGTCCTGGGGTCTCGTTGGGTTTCGGGTGGAATGTTTCTTGTGGTCGAGCCCCGGCGAAGGGGCTTCCACGCCCATCCAGCGGGGCAGAGAGCAATGGACTCTCTCCCTCCTCCTCCTTCTTCTCCTGCTTCTCCTTCTCCTCTCCCCCTCTTCTGCTCTCCCCCTCCTCCTCTTCCTGCTCCTCCTCCTCCTCCTCATCCTTTTCCTTCTCCTCCTCCCCCTCCTCTTCCTCCTCCTCCTCCTCCTCCTCCTCCTCCTCCTCCATCATCGCCCTTCTAGGGCTGTGGGTGGGCGGGTGGGGCCTGGGAGAGGCCGACTTTCGTCGAGGGGGTACCCCCACAGGCTCTGTCATGGTTTGACGCGTCGGCGACCCTGGCACAGGCTTTCAAGTCTGAATGGTGCCAGCATCCCAGGGTCGGCCTCCGAAGCGGGGTGTTCCCCCGCACCACCGCCCCGGGGGATCGGCCTTCGGGGCATTCCGCAGGCGATCGGCCAGACACACACATATCCACTGTCCACCGCCCGCTGGGGTCCCAGGACGGCGGGCCCCCCCCCTTCCAGGCGGTGGGGCTGAAGGTGTCCCCGCCTCGCACGGCCGACGTCGGGCGAGCTGCACTGATGGAAAGCCGCGGCCGTTCCAGGTGGAGCGGGGCCACGACGCATGCCCGCCGTGCTCGAGGATGCCTGAAGACGCGTGGGAAGGGTCGGGGGAGCGCAAGACCCGGGTTTGCCAGGACTCGGGTTCGCCATCGTTGCATGACGACCGCGCCTCGGATTTTGACGAGGAGGAGTTTCGTGGGATGTCTGCAGCGGGAGGCCTCGTCAAAATGCAGGCTCGGCCTCGTCATTTTTTTGACGACCTCGTCGGGGATTTCCGAGTCCCCTGTACCCAGGTCTTACGTCCCCCTGAAAGGGAGGGGGGGGGGGGGCATCGCGTGGGGGGTGTCCTTCGCGCCGGCGCGGGGTGGGTGGGTCGCGTCGGGTGCTGGCGAAGAGAGCTCTGTGCTCGTCCGCGGCCCGTAGCCAGGCCCGCCCTGGGCCCCGGGGGCCGTGTGTGCGCCTTCCGGGCCTCGCCGGGGGGGAGGCGTGCAGCACCGCTCCGGGGCCCCTGGAGGGGCCTGGCCAGGCACGGCGGAGGCGTGCAGAGATATCTTCGGGGGCGGAAAAGAGGGGGGTGACGACTAGGGGGGGGTGGATACCATGGCGTGGGCCATGATATTTCTCCAGATTTCATGGCGCCTCTTCTTCTTTCATTACGTCCCTGGCCCCCCCGCTGGGCCGCGCACATGCCGCCGGTCACGATTTGCACCCCCCCCTCTGGGACACCCCCTTCTTGGCCGCTCCCGATATCTCTGCTCGCCCCAGTAGAAGGGGGGGGCGGGGGGATCAGAGCGAGCCGGTCGCGCGGGGCGGCATGGGAAAGGGGGGTGCCTGCGATAAAACCATCTTTCACCACCCACCAAACCACCCCAACCCAACCCGAAGGCCTCATTTTGCCCTCCATTTCCAGTGGGGGGGGGTCCGGGAACATTGAAAAAACACATATGGAGCCCATACCCCCCCCAACCCGAAATTCGGGTCTTCGGGTTGGGTTGGGGTGGTCTGGTAGGTAGTCAATCTTGGCGACGCAAGAGCGGGTCGTGTGCGCCGACCTTCGCGCGCAAGCTGCTCGCGCAGGCTGCTCGCGCAAGCTCGCGCGTGGGCGCCCTCGCTCCCGGCGTGCCCTGCCGCGCGGGCGGCCCGCGCAGGCGGCGGCGTGAGAGCATGGACGCCACCTCGCCCAAGACCCGTGGTGTCCGAGGCCCGGAAACCAGCACTTCACTGATTTTGCGCCCCGGGGCCCACTGAGGCCCCAGGGGGCCCCAGATTGGTGAAGTGATGCTTTTTTTTCCCACGCGAGGACCCCGAAATCCATCACTATTCACTAAATCGAGCGCCCAGGACGAAAGAGTCAGGGGCCGAACTATTGCTGCTGCGATGCCATGCATCGGCCTCGCATGGTGCCTCGCCGCTCCTCGACGCACAGCGCAGCGTTGGGCTCGAGGGGCCGCTCGGCTGCTGGCGGGGGGGCCCCGGCCAAATGGCCGCGGCGCGGCGTCGGCCGGCCCCCGCGGCGCGGGGCGGCGGGGGGGAGGCCTAAGTAGGCCCGCCGCGGAGGCGGCCGGCGCGCGCCGGTTCGCGGAGCGGCGGCTGCCGGCGGCGGGGTGACGCGTGGAGCTCGGGGAAAGAAAGCAGTGGCTTTCGAAGCGTCCCGGCCTGCCCAATCTCGCCGAGCGCGTTCCTCAGGAGGGAAAGAAACACACAGACACACTGAATCGTCGATCCCCCAGAAAATATGGGAAGATATGGGAAGTGGTGGGGAAGACAGAAACCCAGAACATATGGGAAAGTATGGGGCATCCTTTTATGTGTGTGTATTTATTTGTGTGTCCCAGGGCCCCTTCAGTTCCGCTGCTCGCAAAGTGCCTACCCGCAAACGTCCGACGAAACCCACGTGCGCCTCGATGTCATCGATCGTAAACTCCCCCACGGCGGATCCAGGCCATTTGCGAGTATTGACTTGGCAAATAGCGGAACCCGCGTGCCTATGATCGGCCCACCAAGGAAGGTCCTAAGATAAGACCTGTGTCTTGCACAATCTGTTCCCAGGACACTTCTGGCTGGGGCTGCCCTGCGTCAACACAGCGGCTTCCTGCTCTCAGAACGCTGCCTTTGTTCTCGGAGCACTTTTTGGGAGTTCTGAGAAGCCTTCGTGGTAGGCCTGTAGGAATACCCGGACGGTCGGTCCCTGCTCAATCAGGGGGAGATTGTGCAAGCGGCTTCCAGCATCGCGAACGCAGGCGGCGCATCACCGGCCGCTCCCTGGGAGTTTGACGCATCTGGTCGGTGGTCTCTTGGAGGCAGTCTTGAAGTCTCTTTGGGGTCTCTTGGGCGCCTTTTGGGGGGGGGCCTCTGCTGGGCCTCTTGGGGGCTTCTCGGAGGCCTGCTGGCGGTCTGGGAGGTCCCGCTTGGGCAGGAAGCTGAAAATGTACTTTCGAGCTCTGGCTCTAGGGCCCTCGGTCTTCGCCCTCTGCCGCCGACCCCCCCCTCTCTGGTTGCCTGCGCGGCGGGGTCGACGTGGTTGGTTGTTGGATTGTCTGGTCGGTTGGCGCTCTGGCAGCTCGGCTGCTGGCTGGCAGGCTTGCCAGCTGACTGGTCGGGGCGGGCTCAGAGGCTTCTTTCTGGCCTGCTGGGGCCTCTGAGTGGGCCTCTGGAGGGGCCTTTCTGTTCACATAGTTTCTTCTCCGTCGTGGGGCCGGAAATGAGCGGAGAGGGTTTCTTGGGATCTTCCTATGGGCGATCATGGAGGTGCTTGCAGTCGGAAAGTGCCTGATAAAACCCCGCCGGGGGAGTCGAGTCGACGTCGTGAATCGCGTA